AAAACACAAGGGACCTCCACTCTCCTTGAAGGCGAGGATGTTTTATCATGCCTATTCATCATTATATTTGTGTCTATTTTCTCTATTTTAAAGATAGAAGTCGTAGACGAGCATCATAAATCAAGACGACCGTAGTCAGCGGCGGAACAAGTAGGAGGCAAGCAGTGGTCTGGACTCCTGTAAAATATTTTATTTTTTTTATTTAATATTTAAATATATAATATTTTTATTTTAAATAGATAGGTTATTTAATAATATAACTTGTTATATTAATTTTGATCTCCCCCATAGACTACTGTCATCTCCACCCCTGAACGTAGTGCATGCTTTGAACATGAGATAGCATGACATATTTTACAATATTACCGCAACACCATAAATTCACACGAGGTTGGTAACTTTATGCATCCATTTTTATATATTTAGATTAAGATTAACAAAAAAAATTAAGGGGTTTGGAAAAAATACTTTTCATCCATACTCATTGCACCATAATTGTAATAATGCATTGTTTTTTTTCAATATATTCTTTTAAGGTTGTATTTATTTGGAATTGAGACTTGTGGTCTGTTTTATTTGTGTAGCTTGTGAGATTACGGGGTGTAAAAAAAAAGCTTACTCTATCAAATTAAATGGAGTTTTATTAATTTAAAAAAATCGAAGTTATAAGATTGAATTTAAACAATAGAAAAATATTTGGCTCTTTTTTTTAACAACTAGGGGCTCAATTTCACGGGCAGGGAAAAGATTGACACCATTTTTCTTTTGTCACTCGTTTTTTTTTTTTAGACTTAACAATGTTTTTTTGTTGCATGGAAACTGGGACACCTGGCTTGGGAGAAAATTTCTGAAGCACAGTTACTCAATTTTATAAAATAAAATTTTATTTTATTGATCCAAACAAAATAAGCCTCAGGGTACCAGATTTGAATATGAAACAATGTAAAATGCGCGAGGTAAATGAGCAGCGGCAAACACTAACGCGTGGAGGAAGCCTTTGCGCTTTAGCAGCGTTTGCGGCCTCCTCCAAATTCATGCCCACCACCTCAGGTGTCTTTAAAAGCGTTTTAGCGAAGTCGTCCCGGTGGCATGGCGTGCGTTGGAGGTAGAGGTGCATGGCTGTTGGTTTTATTTCTTTTCGCATCCCCTCTCTTTTTTCTCTCTCCATTCTCCTTGTTTATGCCTGTCCTCGCCAAAATAGCAAAAGGTCTGCCATTTGTTTTTATGTTAAATTGTCTTTATTATTTTATTTTATAGTTGTTTTATTTTAATTTATTTTAATTAATTCAATCCATTATCACTTGGGTGATTGGGAAATGGTTTGGTGATTATTTCTGGTTTGTCCTGCATGGGGTGATTCTAATCCGGGGATGAAGATTATAAATCATAACTTTAAAATATTAATCTGATTTAATTTTAATATTTTTTTATTATAGTTTTATAATATATTTTTTATTTTTATTTTATCTTTTTATCATTGATGAAGTTAGAGATTAAGTTTTATAATATTTATTTATTTTGTTTACATATGGTTATCTTAATTTATTGAGCTACGGTTTAGCGATTTAGCTTAAGTTTACATGTTTTTTAATAAAAATAAATGGATTTTTTGCTAGTTTTTCTCTTTAATATTTAATTAATTTGGATTGATCTTCTTAATTCCTTTGAATTTTCTTTTTGCAAGTCTCTCTTGATCTCGCAGCCTGAATCCTGGAGTTTAAAAAGTTTGCCTGAAGTGATTAAGATCTTTGTTTTAATTTTTTTATTTTAATTTTAATTTTTAATATTTAGTTGGTGGGGAATCAAGTTTGATTATTTTTTTAATTCTATTATTATAATTTAGATTGCAAGTTTAATTAATTAATAATTGAATTTTGTGATTTTTTTATTTGTTTTTTACTAAGTTAGTTTAGTTTAATAACTTGAGTTATTAATTTTTTAAATTAATCCAGTTTAATTTAATTTTTTTCTTTTTAATACTAGGAAAATCTCCTTTGTCGTTATTTTTTTTTTTAATTTTCTCTGCATGGAATTCCATGATCCTATTCTCAAGACTTAGTTCTTAAGTTTATATGGTTTAGCCACACGGATTCAAGCGATTGTTTTGTTGTTTTTTAAGTTGATTTATTTTCTCAAAAAAATATCAGCCTCTCAACATTCTTGCCTGTTAGGAATTGGATTTGTTAATTTATTTCACTTTATTTTTAATATAAGCATCGTTGGCTATAGAAGCTGCCAAGGATTGGTCTAAACCAATACAGTATATTTTCATTTTTTAAAAAAAAAAGTTGTTGTTTGACATGTAATCTCAACCGTGCTTGAAAAACAAATCATCAAAATTTATTAGATTTTTTATTCATCGTTGATTTTTTAGGTTAAAAACATATTAACAATTATTCTATGTTTTTTCTTACACTTTTTTAAAACAATTCAGATCCACGCGTCGCAAGGATAAGCATCCATGTTTTTCACATATCCAAGTCTCAGGCAAACCATATACACTCCCTCACAATGAGTATATTGATTAAGTGTTTGTTTGTTATTGTATTTATGTTGTTTTTTTAAATAATTTTTTATTTTAAAATATATATTAATAATTTTTTATTTTTTTAAATAATAAAATATATTAATTTAAAATAAATAAATAAATTTAAAATTTAAATTGTTTTCAAAAATATTTTCAAAACAGAGAAAGAAAACAGGTACTAAATCCAAATGCAAAACTAACTCATTTATTACTTGAATTAACACGCCAGGATTACATTCGACTTTTATACTCAAAAAATGGAAAATAAAAGAAACTGTCGCATAAGTCATATCACAGATATGGTAAATATCTACGAAGAAAATTCGCATGGATGGTCAATCACATTTCATGCATGTATAGACTATAGAGTCTATACTTTCATTCCCGTCTGAACCACCACTACCGTTCCTAATTACAAATAAACCTTGTCATCCTGCACCAACAGTAAAAAGGAAAATGTCGACTCGCGGGCAAATAAATAATTTCACTTCCCTGTCAGATCGTACACTCTCAAAACAGCAAAGATGAGCACGAGAATGGTGGTCATATTTCGCACTTCTTCGTGAGAGCCTGTAACGTTTTGCTTTCCCGTACTGTTAACCTCCCTGAACTCTCTGCCACCCCCTGCTCTCCTTCCGTCACCCTTCATTTCCATTTTTGTTTACAGAAACCCTAACCTTGTCTTTCCTCTTTTGACGGTTTTTTCCGAGAAACAAACAAACGCTCTTCTTCACTTCTCATCTTCGCTCATGCATCTCTTCCGAGACGTTTGATTTCAGTCTCAAGGTTCTTACGTTAAACTATCCTTTTGTTCTGTACCTTTAGTCTTCACTTTATATTTCTAAGCGATTTGTTTTTTTATTTTTATTTTTTTGGATGATCAACTAGTTTGCCATTATTCTGCGAGCGAGAGAGGTTTGTGTTTCTCCTTCTCATTTCTTTCTATTCTGGAAAATAATCATTATTAATTCCTTTTTTCCTACCTCAAATTTACAGCTAAAAGAAAACTTCGGAGAAATATGTGCAACATTAATTAACTGACGGTTGACCTCCATAAATACTGATTTTCTTGTTTTGTTTTTGGTTCATTTTTAAGATGATTGTGTTTTTTCCCTCTTTATTTTGTTAAAAATCGTGAAAGAAAGCTGAAATCAGTTTGCTATATTTATTTATTATTTTTTAATTCAAGAGGATCCTTAAACTGTGGTTCATGTGGAGTAGAGTTAAGTAGCTTAATTAATCGTGTTTCGTGTTCATCGTGATGATCTTTCCAGCGAGAAATTGTAGGCATTAGTGATTTGAATTCTAAGTATAAATATGGTACAGGTTTTCTCTGTTAAGATACGTTTTTTTCGGAATTCTATTTATTGTCTCACGTCATGTACGTTGATCGAGTATTTTCTGTTGTTGCTTCGATGTTAAATACGTTTTTTTTCTCTTAGGTTGCTTGAATTCTGGCTCAATGTAGCTCCAAGTTTTCCTTCTTACGACATGTTGTGATTACTGTTTCAAAATGACAAAAACATTTAGTGATTATATCTCTTTCTTGTTTAGCTTGCTTGCCGGGTTTGGGAAAAATTCAAGATTCAAGGGGATTGTATTGTAGTTTATTTAATTCAACCCTGCTCCTGTTTATGTTCACTTGCCTAGCTTTGTGCCACCGATATAGACTATTGATTTCAGTCTCAAGGTCACTCTATTCACTCTCTTTATTATGTCTTTCAGGCTTTTACATGAGGCTTTTCCTAGATTCTTTACTTTTTTTTATTTTTGTTTAAATTTATGACCATTGCTAGGCAATGTTCATCAAATAAATTTTAATTTATTTGATGTAGAGGATCCCTGTTAGCATTTGGAGCTTGAACACCTTATGGAATATTCTTCATGTCTGATGAGAGTTTTGATGTTGTTGATGAAACATGACGAAGTGTAGTGACACTAGTTGTGATACGTGATTGTTGTCAGCTAGAGCATCTTAAGGAAGGAAGCCAAACTTGAATGAGAACATAAATTTCTTTAATCATATGGAGTGTTTAAGGTCTGATTTGCTAAACCAAGATATGCAACGAGTTGTGTTCATCTTATGCCCTCTGTCAAGTAGGAGATTTTAGATGTTTAGTGTGTTTTTCTTTGGTTGCTTTGAATTGTATCGATGTGGTTCAAATTTTCTTTGTTATGATATGTGTTTTAATTCCAGTTATTTATACATGCTCAAGTTTTTCAGTGCCCTTTATTGTGTTTTTCCTTTATTTATTTGTTCTCACTATAAAACCTGTTAGTGTGGCGCAATTCTCCCTGTCAAGGCATGCTGTGATTAGTTTTCGCTTCTTTTTCCCTTTTGGCTTTTGGGGTGGGGGAAGGAGGGTCAAGGGGGAATTGTTTAGTTGCTGAATCTGTTCTTTATTCATCATGGAATATTGATTGAAAACGAAACTAATGGAAGGCTATTATTTTTATTTTTTGAATCAAAAGAATGGGTGCAGGAAGGAAGACACGGACATTCCACTTAAAGGAGAAATCAGTAACTCAAACGTCAGTTAATAGCAGTATAACAGCTAGGAATCTGAGGAAGAGTGATCTAGCTGGAGTAATATTTGGATGCAAGAATAATACAATCAGAGAATGCTTCTCAAAACAGTTGTTTGGTTAGTACCCTTCACTTGTTTTTCATGTTTAGATTATAATGTGTACATACTCTGACTCCACTTACTTGGGAAATTTTTAATATGCTTTCTTGAACAGGAATACCAGGTTCACATTACCCCTATGTAAAGAAAATAGATCCTGGTTTACCATTGTTTTTATTCAACTACAGTGACAGGAAGCTTCATGGCATATTTGAGGCTACCAGTCATGGAGGATGGAATATTGATCCAAATGCCTGGACTGAAGATGGCTCAGGCATTACCCCATACTCTGCACAGGTATCACATGTTAATTCTGTTTTTGGTTCCTAAGTTATCAAGTCTAACCTAATCCATGCTTGTTTCTTTTAGGTTAGGATACGAGTCCAGATGCAGTGCCAGCCATTAGTGGAAGATCAGTTCAGTCCAATCATCGCAGAAAACTACTATAGACCAAACCTTTTTTGGTTTGAACTAGACCAGGATCAAACAAACAAGTTTATCTCAAAATTCTCATCTTCACTGGTCATTGCAAGTACCAAGGATATGCACAACTGGAATTATCTGCCTTGTGATCCTAATGTGAGGCAAGAAAATGACTATATGGATAAATTTAATGATTGCAAAGAGAGCACTACGACCTCTAGCCTTTCTCTGAAACCATGGAGTGCCTTGTTTAAATTTGAAACTTGTCCAGATACAAGAGCAATGACCGAAAAGGAGAACGCTGAGTCATCCAATGTAAATCTTACAAATCTCGATACATCCATTGCAGATCATATTGGTGTTGAAACATGTATTGATTCTACCATTAAGAAAAAATCACTGTCTGCTTTGTTTACAAAGAGCACTGGTCCTGGCGCAAGCAAGATGACAGCAGAAGATAATAATGAATCATCTGATGCAAGCGTGGGCAACGTTGAAAATCTGGATGCCAAGAAGTTAAGCATAACAACCTGCATGGCTACTGCATTTCCAGAAAAATCATGGAGTACTTGGTATGAAAGTGAAAACAGATCTGATGCAAGAGAGGTGATGGCAGTGGGTAGTGATGGAGAAAACTCTGAGGTAGATTCACAGGAAAGAAAGAACTCAGAAATGGAGTCTTTATATCTTCATTCCGTGCTAGCCAAGGTAAGCTGTGGTATTTGTCGTGCTTAGTGTTTTTAATATGGACTTTTCTGTTCCTCTAATTGTTTGTGACATGTCTTGAAGTTATCTATGGAATTGGAAGATTTGAAATCATCTCAGTCAAGTCAAGTTCAAAAAATCAGTTATTTGGAGCATGAACTGGTATGATCTATTATTCATTAATCACTATTGTCTTTGGTAAATGACAACTTTTGAAATGCTATGGTAGTCTCAACTAGTGCAAACTGTTAAAATTGACTCATCTTTAATTAAGCACCTTTTTTGTGCAATTGGAACTGATAAAGTCAACTTCATGAGAACTCAGGGAATTTTCTGTCTTCTTTATAGATCAAACAATTTCTGTGATCAGCGTGAACGCATCCATTAAGCTACCATTCATGTGTGATCTCTTAGTGCAATGCCATGGTCCATGGTTTCTACTATGTATTGTGCTTGTTTGTATGTATTCCTTTCACAATAGGTTGATTATGAATCATTCACTACTCTCTCAAAGCCTCTTCCAGAAGTCGATGCAAATTTATGTTCTGTGAAATTTCCATTTTTCTCCCCAAAACTTTCTTCAACATTGCTTTATTTTGGAGTTTTTGTGTTGGTCAATTTTCATCGTTAATTTTCTATTCAATTTACATGTGTTGAAATGTTGTTAATGGAAAATTCTCCCTATTTAAAGATTTTGTTAAATCTCTGAATTCAACAAGTTTCATATACTTATATGATGAAGCTGGTTACTTTTATATATAATGGAGAGAAGCTCAAATGGGGTTATCATATCATTTTGCTTTTTATAGGATTTTTTTCTCTGTTGGCTATTGAATTAAAACTTGAAAGTAAATTGGCAATTCAGGCTCAATCAAGAAATGAAATTAAACTACTAAAAGATCGGTGCAAGATGTTGGAGTATGTGTCCTTTCCAGCAATGGGTCATCTTGCAGAAGATGGGTCTGAGCTAGAAGAATTCAACTCTTGCAGTGACGAGTTGATACTAATAGGAGGGTTTGATGGTTCTTCGTGGCTGTTGGGTTTGGACTTTTATTCTCCTTCACAGGACCAGATGGAATCTCTAACATCAATGAGTGCAATACGCAGATATGCCTCAACAGGAAGGTTAAATGGTGAAATCTATATATTTGGCGGTGCAAATGATGATGTCTGGTATGACACAGGTATATTTGTTTTTTCTTTCAATTTTTCATCCTTTTCAAATTGCTGGGTTTCTATTTCACAAAGCATAACATTTCAATTTTCTTCGTGTGAAGTTGAATCATACAACCTTTTGATCAAGCAGTGGAGTTCTCGACCTTCCTTAAAGCGAAGAAAGGGAAGTGTGGCAAGTGTTTCTTTGGAGGACAAGATGCTTGCAGTTGGAGGTGGTGATGGGGTTGAATGCTTTTCTGAGGTGGAAATATTTGATCTGAATGTTGGAAGGTGGATCCCTACTCAATCAATGCGTAACAAGGTACCCTTTTAAAACCTGTTAACAACTTGAGTTGGTAGACATATTGAATCTTTCAACTTCTAGTAATATTGAGTTTCGAAGTTTTCTCTTTGAAGCATTGTCTTCTGATGCTCATTCATTTGACTTGCTTTCGTTCTGCCAGCGATTTGCAGCTGCTGCAGCAGAAATTAATGGCATGCTCTACGTTGCTGGGGGATACAATGGAGAGGAATACTTAAAGTAAGATGTTCCGTTCATTTCTTTCTTCTTTTCAATTGCTGGCTGGATGGGTGGTTGTGTCTAATCAATGTCAGAGTTAATTCACAAACATTTGGTATTACCCTTCTTTGAACATATCTGGGTCAATATGTTCCTTGTTTGTTTCGCTATTCTGTACAGAACACAATAGGATAGGCTAGAAGGCGATGTCTTGTAATGAGGGTCTTTCAATTGTTCGAGGACATCTTACACGATTCTTTTACTTTGGGGCACAGGCAGTTGCAGCATGTCTGAAATAAGTTTAATGTATTGTTATTATATTAATCTATTAATTCTGCAAATGGTACTATATCTTCAAAATATTTTGAAATTCTTGCTACCATGTAAACATAATAATCCTTTCAGCACCTACTGCATGTAGTGTTACTCACACTAAACAGTAGATGTTCTTGACTTGACTTTTGGGATTTTCTCATGATGGTCTTACAGAAATATGTTGTTGTAAATTCACAGGTCGGTTGAAAGATATGATCTACGAGAACATAAATGGGCAAGACTCGACAGTATGACCACAAAGAGAGGGTCACTTTCTTTGGTTGCTATGAATGAGAAATTGTGAGTCTATTTATAGTGACTTTTTTTAACCCTTCTATGGAATAATTCTGTATCTATTTAAAGCAATCAAAGTAAAACAGAAGATCATTTTAGTAACTGCCGCAAAATATATTAGTAAAATATCCCCTATGCCTGTGCTTTTATACAGGGCATACAATGCGAGGACTGAACCTTGGAAAATTGTGTTGGCAGGTATGCTTTGGGGGGCTATGATGGGGACAGGATGGTATCAACAGTTGAGGTATTTGATCCTCGTGCTGGTTTGTGGAGGGAGGCAGAATCCATGAACAGTTCCAGGGGATATTTTGGTGATGTCGCGATGGGAGATTCAATTTATGTCATTGGGGGGCTGAATAATGATAATCAAATACTAGACACGGTATACAACTGCTCCCTCCCAAAAAGACAATATTACACCATTTTGTATTTAGCCACTCAGGGCTTCCTTACTGTCAAAATTGTCTTAATTTTCTTTCATGTGATGACAGGTTGAGTGTTTCAGGGAAGGCCATGGATGGCAGGAGGGTTACTCGAAAGCCATTGGGAAAAGATGCTTCCTCTCTGCTGTTGTTGTATGATTAAGGGTCCATGGCAACAAGACCACCTGGTACTGCTGTTTCTGTTCATATGGATATAGGTTCTCATAGACGAGTTAGTTTTATTAGGATGCCTTGCTCTCGCCTTCGCTTTAGTTAAAAAACATACAGAGCACAGTCTCGTTTTTGAAGCTATCATGTCCTCTTAGCTGTCTGTTATAATGGCAGACTGTTCAGAATAGTGAGCGTTATGTGGCTTCAATCAAAATTCAAAGCTCTTTATGAAATCCTTGCGAAGAAGTTGCATAGCTTGTTTCGGTATCACATATGAGATTGTTTTCAATGAAATATTAACAGCTCCTCCCTAGATAAATTTTGGCCCTGTGCTTTACAGTGTCTTACTCCATTTCCTAGCAGCACATTACTGGAACAGGTTAGAAAGTCACCTTGTTATGCTTTTGTGAATAATTTAATTCATTTTTTCTTCGTAATGGTCATCTATTATCTCTTAAGTAGATCCTTTTTTTCATAGAAGAAAAATCATACTAGTCGATCTATAATTTAAGGGTGCTTGTATGGATTAGCCTTGGAAACGGCAAAGGGAGTTTTAGATGGATACATAATGGATCTCGTGATGTAGCCAGTTTTTTTGGATTTTGGTTGCTATCTCCGCTGTTTTATAAGGAAATCAAGAAATACTGAAACAGTCCTAACTAATGGCAAAAAATAAAACCAGAACAATATCTAAACTACCTATTCATATTGTCATGCTTTCCGAGTCGAAATCTTCAATTATAAATTTTTTAGCGCAGCCTAAGAGCTCTCTGACTCAGTTGGCACTTAGAGCCATGCTCGTCACCTCGTCCTGTTTCCAAGCCTCACTAATTTTGATGCTCTCTATCAATTCAATTTCGACCAAATTTTACGTGGTGGAGTGCCGAGATGATGAATTGCTTGGAGAGAAATTGACATTAAATTGACTGGGGACTCTCGAAAGAAGAACGAACCGAATAACAACAATATATTACTGAAAGTTTTGTAGGAAATGCTCCCGAGTTTTGTTTTTTCAGATCGATAAACCACAAACAACAGGCATGCATCGTTCAACTGGAAAACAAAAGACCATCTAATACACAAACAATCCTCTTAACGACCTAGAATGCTCAACAAATTATTCCTATATCAATGTAACTGACGAAAAAGGCAAGCGAAATTACCATCAAAACCTGTGTCTTCTGATAGCCAGCACATGATGCAGAGACCACAAGAAACAGCGAAAATAATATGCAACCCTTGCGAGCTTCCCAAGAATTGCATCAAGGTTACCAGAGACAGCACGGTCAGTTGTTGATACCATGAAATGATGGCAAGACAGCTATAAGAGGGTCTCCATACCCAACTGCATCTGTATTATACCGAACTAAGATGATCAGTTTCTCAAAAACCCAACAAGATGGACAAGAGGAATTTATTCACAGCCAGATAACATTAGCAGTTAATGTTTCACCAGCATCAATGCCTCTTACCAATTTCAAAATTTTCGTTGCACTGGCTTGATGATTTTTATATGCCACAGTTGTAAATTCCAAAGAAATGTCAAGCAATTTCTCAAAAAAAGATTTTTATTGAACAAGGACCTTGTTCTCTACTGTCAGTGCCAAGCATAATTAGCCACCGAATAATAAGGTCTAAGGCCAATAGAAGCAACTGGTCCAAACCCTGTTGCCTCAGAAGTCAAGTTAACGAGCAAAGACCTCACATATCAGCACCACCATTAAAGACAAGGAAGAGTAGAGTTCAACGAGGAACGCTCTGCTTGATGAAAGCATTCCAGGACCAAAATACAACATTATGTAGACAGCGAGACACCTATTTATATTCATAATCAAGTGAACCCTTCCCTTTCACATTTTCCCTAATAAGTAGTTAAAAAGGTATATCACATGTTAAAACCTCAGAGGAAAATGCATAAACTCCTAAAACACTGTATGATAAACATATAACTTGCATTTAATCACATATCACTCACAAAATAAGCACAAATCATCAGAAAAGGGTAGATTGATATTTATGTCAGAAGTGCTTAGTAGATAGAGAGATGCTATGTTATTATATTCCCCCTTTTCCCTTGGCATATCTGTCTGCATGTTGCACCCTTGTTGACCACTTTTTTCTTCAAATTATATATATACATATATCTTGAATGTATCCCATATCTAACTCATTTTTATCAAAAACTCATATCCTAAACATTTCACTTCAGGCAAGCATCTTTATAGTCTGAAGCTGTCTGCAATTTTTCAGAGACCTAATTACTCATTGGATTAGGTACGAGGAAACTATAATGACAATTACTTCAACATGTGCTTCCTGGGTGGCACTCATAGCCTGATTTATTCTGAACCCGGCTAGACTCCATCAGTAGTGTCTATATGTTCATTAGTGTCAGAGAAAAATTGACTTTCAAATTATTTGAAAAATTAAGATGCTAAAAATCTACAAGTGAAATTACAATGGTCGATGTGTTACCTCCATCATTGAAGAGGAGCTTTAGTACTTCTCCCGCCACATCAGACTGCAATCATCAACAACATCATGAGACAAATCAATCATCAAAGCGAATTCAGGTCTGAAGAAACTAAATAGAAGACCCACCTTAACAGGAAGTTCGGTACCAAATTGATCCAAATATCCTATCACTTGTCCTTCCTTAATCACATCTCCCTATAAATTTGAATTTCAAATGTTCAGAATTAAAGAAAGGGAAATGTAAGACGAAGCCATTATGCAACATTAATTTCAATATTTGGATCATTTAAATTAACGCAACATAGATATCAGGAATGAATGTGATTAATGCCATGATAATGAGGTTCAAAGATATCTTTCCACAAAAGCATTCCTACAATGGATGGTAAATATGAGCAAGGAACAAAAAAAGGTTCGTACATGCCTGGCCACAGTTTTGATGATGGAAAAATTATCTCGATCAAATGAAATTTTGAATTTGAGATCTCCAAATTCAGATCATACATAAATTCTAGCACATGCAGGTTATCGGTGTGTGCTAATCTCATCAACATGGCTATTCTCCGTTAATAGATGAGTGAGCATAACTTATGAGCAGCACATCAGTAACCAATAATTACTTCCACGTGTACCACAGGTCTACCAAGCTTAAAAAATGTCTCATCAACCTGGAACTATCTACAATCAAATAACTTCTATTTACTATATGCTAAATCGTTTTTCTTTTTTCTTTTCATTTGGTTTACATAAATCTGATAAAGGCTGCAACAACAGATGAAATTGAAAGTTACCATAAATACAAAACATAAGCTAGGATTGGCCCTCAACCATCAAATCTCACAATGTCATGCTAGCTGATAAAAACTAATACTAAATGGCAAATAACACATTGCTGAAATAAATGAAATTAGGGGAATTGAATATAGATAGTTTAGTTGACAAAATTTCCAAAACAGAGTTTGTTGGCAACAATTCAATAATTCAACAAATACAAAACATCTGACAGACAAAAATGGCATGCCAAATCTACCTCTTTACAGATAGGAGGCTGCTTCTTTCCTTTCACTGTTCTGTTCCTTCGGAATGAGCCAACCTAGCAAAAAAAAAAATAATGATTGCATATGTCACCTTAAAGGCTTTGTTCACAAGTAAAGAGGACATTGGCCTTTTGCTCTCTGGTAACATTACTTACAGTTGGAGAAGCAACTAGAACATATCCACTAGCTCCAGAAGCCTCTAATGCTGCCAACTTAGATGACTTCCCAAAGGAGACATTTGTAAAGGGAGTGGATTTCTCGACAGAGGATTTAGATGGCGATGGCGATGGAGAAACAGCTGCTGATACCTCCATTGGTGGAGTTGGAATAGGTGGTAATGGTGTTGATGATATCAAGGGAGCTTTCACAGCCCCAACGTTCCGCTTCAGATGCATTTCAAAGTCCCCGACCTATCGCAAACAGCAGAGAACCAGTAATATAATGTATTCATAAGATTCAAGGAGATTGCAGAAATGGAACCTAGCATCACTACTATATTCATTTATGCTGAGGTGCTGGAAACTTATTTTTAACAATCAGAGACATTTCTAAGGATGCAGCTGGGCAACAAGAATAGCATTCTGAGAAAGACAAACGAGCACAATATGAATCAGGAGTTCACCTTCAGTTTCAGCTCAGCAATCTCTGTCTCATCACAGACCTCTAGTACCAATGCCTTTGATGATTTGAAAACAATAACAAAGGAAGATTCATGTCAGAAGTATGCAAAATGATATAGATCAAACTGAGATGTTGAATCAAGCCTTCTTGAGAAAACCAAAGTCATCAGCATGATAAATAATCAAACCATCACAAGGGAAGCACAAAGAACAGAAAAGGCCATGTCCTAAGCATTTCTGTTGATAAGAAGTAGATATAGCTTGCAACAACACCCCCAACCCTGAATCTCAAAGGAAAGTTAATGTGAAAATATCTGAAACCCTTATGTGCCTGCCAGGGCAAATAGTCAGCAGGGATGATATTAGCTGTTAGCCTGGTGATTCTGGGAAAGCATTAGTTAATATCAGGACAAAGTCCCAAGTAATTGACTTTCAAGTTGATTGATTCATTAACTGCATACATTTCTAACACCATCGAAAAAGAGAGAGACAGAGCACATTTGATGTCTAGTTTGGTTATTATGTTTCCTAAATCTCAAATTCTTGCAGAATGAGGGAGGATTGTTAACTATTATTCAAGCTTTCTCAAAACAAGGGCACCCAACTAAAAACTTAAAATGAATCTTTGTTACCATGAATCATAAAATCAATCCGCATTTATCTAGTATACAATTAGGCGGCATTAAAAATCATGATCAGATCATCATAACAACATAAAGTAATTTAAAACAGAAAAATGACATAGTCTGAATATAAGAATCCATCTAATACTATAAATTCACAAGTTAATAGCAACAAAACTAGAAAGCAATTAAAAGCTCAAAGAGAAACACTAACTTCAAATCCATTCGGAAAAGTTGCATTTCGCAGAGAATTCTTCTCCAATGACCCTTGTTTATTGCCATCTAATAAACATGCCTCGTCAGTGGCAGCAAATTTAAAAAAACCAAGCCAAAAATAAAAGGCGCTCAAATAATATTTACACATATTACTAGAACATAACTCACCATCACTCTTGGCTATTGCAGGAGCTTCAGATGTTTTTACACAGGAT